CCCCCCGGGGGGCCCCCCGGGGGGCCCCCGGCAGGGGCCCCTGAGGTCCGCGCAGCAGGAGGAGACGCGGGGGGCAGCAGCAGCAGAGTCGGGAGCAAATGCTGCAGCAGCAGAGGCAGCAGCAGGAGCTTCTACAAAGACTGGAGAGCCCGAAGAAGCCCCAGCAGCAGAAAGAGACACGGGAGGTTCTTGCTGCTGCCCTTTGGCCCTAAGAGAGGAGGAGAAGTAGTCGCAGGGAGCCAAAGAAGGCTTTGCGTGGAGATACATCACCGCTACAAACCCTAAACCCTAAACCCTAAACCCTAAACCCTCAAACCCCGAACCCTGGCCCCCCAAACCCTCAAATCAACAAGTCAGGGAATATGATTCCAAAACTCTGCACTATTGCAGCCTAAAAACTCCAAAGAGGGGGCGAAAGGGCGAAAACCCCTGCAGAAAAGGAGCAGCCCCCTGCTGCGGGTGTCTCACTGCGCCCGCCGGTTCCGAGGCTACAGGGCGACTTTTCGAGCCCTTTCTCCTCGTTTTAGGGGCCAAATGCTCATTTTTATCTCTACAAAACTCTAAAATTAAAAAAAAAGTGAAAAAATGCCAAAAATGAGCCCAGACGGACCCGGAGCCCCCAACCAGTGGTCAGGGTCACTGCAGTGTACAGACACCTTGGAGGCCGTCACCGCCGCCGACAACCCAACCGTCTTGAAATACTTTTCATTTTTAAGTTTAAATAAATTTAAATTAAATTAAATTTTACTTCCAAACTTAATAACTGCAGCAGCCCCCGGTTTTCTGCATCTTCATGCTCAGCGCCCACCGGCTCCTGCGCAGCTCCACTCGCTGCCCGAGACCCGCCTAAACCCTAAACCCTAAACCCTAAACCCTAAACCCTGGCTAGCCTTGGCTGTTCCCGGTGCTGCAGAGTACCGCAGCAGCAAATTTGCGCATATTTCAAAATCCCGAACTGCAGCTGCTTCCTGGGCCAGTCTTAGCTAGCCACAGCTAGCTAGCCACAGCTGGCTACAGCTAGCTGCAGCAGCTAGCTAGCCGCAGCGGCTGCAGCTAGCTGGAGCTAGCTGGACCTAGCTGCAGCTGCCGCAGCTAGCTGCTGCAGCAGCAGCTAGCCATGGCAGCTAGGAGCCTTGTGAAAAGTAGGCGGGTTCTATGTGCAGCAACTTGTGGCTCTAAACGACACTCGCCGTTCCTCTAAACCCTAAACCCTAAACCCTAAACCTTAAACCCCCAAGTATAGGGAATTGTTCGCAGATTCATTCCCAATCCAGAGCATTCCTTCGGCTCAAATGGAACCAGAGAGCCTACTAGTGCTGCTGCTGCTTCCGCAGCTGCTGCTGCAGCTGCTGCTGCAGCTGCTGCTGCAGCTGGCGCAGCAACTGCTGCCGTTGTTGCAGCAGTTGCTCAAACGGAGCAGCAATGGCAAATTCAGAAACTAAAGCGGCAGCACAGCGCGCCAACTGTTGCTGCAGTTGCTGCAATTGCTGCAGTTGCTGCTGCTGCTGCGGCTAGCGCAAGCTAAGGCGCAGCACTTTTCTTCTTTTGTTTGTTCTTACGCTTCGTCAGCTTGCCGCTGCTGCTGCTGCTGCTGCTGCTGCTGTCGTTGCTGTTGTTGTTCACATTACTACTGCTACTGCTGCCGCTGCTGCTGCTGTTGCTGTTGCTGCTGCTGCTGCTGCTTGGCTCAGAGGCCCCTGAAGGCCCCTGCAGGCCCCTCTCTTTCTTGGGTTTCCCTTTGCCTTTTGAAACCTCTTTGGGGGCCCCCAGGGGCCCCTTAAGTCTGCGCACTTTCTTAGGGGGGCCCCCCGAGAGGGGCCCCTCAGGGGCCTCCCCAGGGGCCCTCTTGAGGGCCCCCCTGGGGGCCCCAATGGGGGCCCCATTGGGGGCCCCCTGGGGGCCCCCCTGGGGACCCCCCTGGGGGGCCCCCTCAGGGGCACCTTCGGGGGCCCCCTTGGGGGCCCCCCTGGGGGCCCCCTGGGGCCCCCTCTTTGAGTTTGTGTGGAAGGCAATGAAACGCCCAGCAGCAGCAACGTCTAGGGTTTGGGTTCTTTTCTCTCCTGCATAAATAAACCCTAAACCCTAAACCCTAAACCCTAAACCCTAAACCCTGAACACTAAACCCTAAACCCTAAACCCTGAACACTAAACCCTAGACCTGGTGGGGCTGGGTGCGGAGGGAAGCAAGTGGTGGCAGCAGGGGGGTAGACAACTCTTGAGAAGCTGCAGCCAACGGATTAGGGTTTAGGGTTTAGGGTTTAGGGTTTGGGGTTTAGGGTTTGGCTTGCCTTCTTGGATTGTTCTTGACACTTTCTGCATGTACTGCTGCACGCGAGCCTGGAGCGAGAAACACCGAAGCACCAAACCCTAAACCCTAAACCCTAAACCCTAAACCCTGAAACTTCGGCTCTAAACCCTAGACCCCATACCGTAAACTCTAAACCCTAAACCCTAAACCCTAATCCCAAAAACACTAAAGCATTAGCCCCTCAAGTAAGTCCAATGCATGCCTACCGCTTAGCAGCAAGCGCTGCAGCTTAGGGTTTAGGGTTTAGGGTTTAGGGTTTATCGCTCACGAGGTCTCTTGTGACTGGATGGCTTTGAGTGCTCAGGCCCTGGGTCTTGAGGTATGCTGCGTGCACGCGCAAGCCCTAAACCCTAAACCCTAAACCGTAAACCCTAAACCCTAAACCTTCAATCCCAAACCCTAAACCCTAAATCAGGGTTCTGGAGCATTGAGTCCTGAGAGCATAAAGTGATCCGAACCCCAACCCCTAAATCCGCGAGTGAGGCGTAAACCCCAAACCCTCCCTTAAACCCTAAACCCCAAACCCTAAACCCTAAACCCTAAACCCTCAAGCCTCACTAAACCATAAGGTGCATGCAGCAAAGGCAGTTGCAACGTGGAGCTGTGCCGCCTCCAGGGGTGGGAGAGTTGCTGCAGCATCATGAGGTTTGCTTCTTGCTGCTGCTGCTTCCGCTGCGTCTGCTGCTGCTGCTGCTTCTGCGTCTGCTGCTGCTGCTGCTGCTGCTGGATTCTTAGCCAGGGCCCCCAGAGCCGCCCTGAGCTGCTGCAGTTTGCTGTCGAGGGCCCCCAGCTGGGAGGAGTAATTTTCCAAAACTTCCTCTATAGACTCCATTGCTGCTGCTGCTGCTGCTGCTGCTGCTGCGTTCGGCGCCTGCTGCAGTTCTTGCTGCTGCAGCAGCAGCAGCAGCGGTACAGTCGCAGCTGCTGCTGCTCTCTGCAGACAGCAGCCGCTTTGATGCAAGAGTTCCTGCTGCTCTTGCCACTTTTGCTGCTTCGATTGCGCCGCAGCAGCAGCGGCTGCAGCAGCAGCGGCTGTTGCTGCTGCAGTCGATGCTGCTGCTGCTGCTGCTGCTGCTCTGTAGCGGGGCCTGAAGCAGCAGTCAGACTTTCAAATAGAAGGGGTTTTGCCTGTGGCTAGTTTGCTGCAGAATCTGCTGCAGCGGCTTCAGCAGCGGCAGCAGCAGCAGCAGCAGCAGCAGCAGGCCCACCGTGGGGTCGGAAGCTTTAAAGCACCGTTTAAAGCCCTTAATTCCTTTTCAATTAATGAAATAAAGAACTTAATTATATTTTGAAAGACAAATATATCATTTTATTTTCTTGGGGGCCCCTAAGGCCCCTTCAGCAGCAGCAGCAGCAGCAAGGCGGGGGCCCCCTGTAAGCCGTGGGGCCCCAGGGGGCCCCCTGTGAGGGTCTGTGCTGCTGCTGCTGCTGCTGCTGCTCGTAAAAGGCACTTTTGAAAGTTTTTAATTTATCTTGTCAAGGAGGTGAATTTAGGGACTTAGGGCTCAGGGTGTAGGGTTTGGGTTTCAGGGTTTAGGGTTTAGGGTTTAGGGT